ACTCTAGAAAAACTAGGGATAACAGGAACATACCTCAATATTGTAAAAGCTATCTATGCTAAGCCTCAGACTAGCATCATTCTGAACGGAGAGAAATTGAAGGCATTCCCTCTAAAATCTGGAACAAGACAGGGATGCCCTCTATCACCACTTCTGTTCAACATAGTTCTTGAAACACTGGCCAGAGCAATTAGACAGACAAAAGAAATTAAAGGCATAAAAATAGGAAAAGAAGAACTTAAATTATCACTATTTGCAGGTGACATGTTTCTATACCTAGGAGACCCAAAAGGGTCTACAAAGAAACTATTAGAGCTAATAAATGAATTCAGCAAAGTGGCAGGATATAAAATCAACACGCATAAATCAAAGGCATTCCTGTATATCAGCGACACATCTTCTGAAATGGAAATGAGGACAACCACTCCATTCACAATATCCTCAAAAAAAATAAAATACTTGGGAATCAACCTAACAAAAGAGGTAAAAGACTTATACAATGAAAACTACAGAACCCTAAAGAGAGAAATAGAAGAAGATCTTAGAAGATGGAAAAATATAACCTGTTCATGGATAGGCAGAACTAACATCATCAAAATGGCGATATTACCAAAAGTTCTCTATAGGTTTAATGCAATGCCAATCAAAATCCCAATGGCATTTCTTGTAGAAATAGATAAAGCAATCATGAAATTCATATGGAAAAATAAAAGACCCAGAATAGCAAAAACAACTCTAAGCAGGAAGTGTGAATCAGGCGGTATAGCGATACCAGACTTCAAACTATACTACAGAGCAATAGTAACAAAAACAGCATGGTACTGGTACCAAAACAGGCGGGTGGACCAATGGTACAGAATAGAGGACACAGAAACCAATCCACAAAACTACAACTATCTTATATTTGATAAAGGGGCTAAAAGCATGCAATGGAGGAAGGATAGCATCTTCAACAAATGGTGCTGGAAAACTGGAAATCCATATGCAACAAAATGAAACTGAATCCCCTCCTCTTGCCATGCACAAAAGTTAACTCAAAGTGGATCAAGGAGCTAGATATCAAATCAGAGACTCTGCGTCTGATAGAAGAAAAAGTTGGCTCCGATCTACATATTGTGGGGTCGGGCTCCAAATTCCTTCATAGGACACCCATAGCACAAGAGTTAATAACTAGAATCAACAAATGGGACTTACTTAAACTAAAAAGTTTTTTCTCAGCAAAAGAAACAATAAGAGAGGTAAATAGGGAGCCTACATCCTGGGAACAAATCTTTACTCCTCACACTTCAGATAGAGCCCTAATATCCAGAGTATACAAAGAACTCAAAAAATTAGACAATAAGAAAACAAATAACCCAATCAACAAATGGGCCAAGGACCTGAACAGACACTTCTCAGAGGAGGACATACAATCAATCAACAAGTACATGAAAAAATGCTCACCATCTCTAGCAGTCAGAGAAATGCAAATCAAAACCACCCTAAGATACCATCTCACTCCAGTAAGATTGGCAGCCATTATGAAGTCAAACAACAAGTGCTGGCGAGGATGTGGGGAAAAGGGTACACTTGTACATTGCTGGTGGGACTGCAAATTGGTGCGGCCAATCTGGAAAGCAGTATGGAGATTTCTTGGAAAGCTGGGAATGGAACCACCATTTGACCCAGCTATTCCCCTTCTCGGTCTATTCCCTAAAGACCTAAAAAGAGCATACTACAGGGACACTGCTACATCGATGTTCATAGCAGCACAATTCACAATAGCAAGACTGTGGAACCAACCTAGATGCCCTTCAATAGATGAATGGATAAAAAAAATGTGGCATTTATACACAATGGAGTATTACTCTGCATTAAAAAATGACAAAATCATGGAATTTGCAGGGAAATGGATGGCATTAGAGCAGATTATGCTAAGTGAAGCTAGCCAATCCCTAAAAAACAAATACCAAATGTCTTCTTTGATATAAGGAGAGTAACTAAGAACAGAGTAGGGAGGAAGAGCATGAGAAGATTATTAACATTAAACAGGGACGAGAGGTGGGAGGGAAAGGGAGAGAGAAGGGAAATTGCATGGAAATGGAAGGAGACCCTCATGGTTATACAAAATTACATACAAGAGGAAGTGAGGGGAAAGGGGGAAAAAACAAGGGGGAGAAATGAATTACAGTAGATGGGGTAGAGAGAGAAGATGGGAGGGGAGGGGAGGGGGATAGTAGAGGATAGGAAAGGCAGCAGAATACAACAGACACTAGTATGGCAATATGTAAATCAGTGGATGTGTAACCGATGTGATGCTGCAATCTGTATACGGGGTAAAAATAGGAGTTCATAACCCACTCGAATCAAAGTGTGAAATATGATATGTCAAGAACTATGTAGTGTTTTGAACAACCAACAATAAGAATTAAAAACACACACACACACACACACACACACACACACACAGAATAGCTAAAGCAATCCTTAGTAGGAAGAATAAAGCAGTTCGCATCACTATACCAGACTTTAAACTATACTATAGAGCAATAGTAACAAAAACAGCCTGTTATTCGCACCAGAACAGACTGGTAGACCAATGGTACAGAATAGAGGACACAGAGACTAACCCACAAAATTACAATTATCTTAGACAAAGGTGCCAAGAACATGCATTGGAGGAAAGATAGCCTCTTCAACAAATGGTGCTGGGGAAATTGGAAATCCATATGCAACAAAGTGAAATTAAACCCCTATCTCTCACCATGCAAAAAAAACCTTAAAATGTATCAAGGACTTAGGAATATAACCAAAGACCCTGCGTCTAATAGAAGAGATGGCTGTAATCTCCATCATGTGGGATTAGGCCCCAACTTCCTTAATAAGACTCCTGGGGTTCAAGAATTAAAACCAAGAATCAATAACTGGGATGGACTCAAACTAAAAAGTTTCTTCTCAGCAAAAGAAACAATCTGTGAGGTGAATATAAAGCCTGGAAGCAAATTTTTAACCCTCACTCATCAGTTAGAGCACTAATCTCTAGGGTCTATAAAGATCTCAAAAAGCTAAGCACCAAAAAACCAAATAACCCAATCAACAAACGGCCAAGGACCTGAACAGACACTTCTCAGAAAATGATATACAATCAATAAATACATGAAAAAATGTTCATCATCACTAGCAATCAGAAGTGCAAATCAAAACTACTCTTAAGATATCATCTCACTCTAGTCAGAATGGCAGCTATTATGAAGACAAACAACAATAAGTGTTGTGGGGGAAAAGGCACACTCATACATTGCTGGTGGGACTGAAAATTGGGAATGAAACCACCATTTGACCCAGCTATCCTCCTTCTTGGACTATACTCAAAGGACTTAAAAACAGCATACTACAGGGACACAGCCACATTAATATTTATAGCAGCTCAATTCACAATAGCGAAACTGTGGAACCAACCTAGATGCCCTTTAGTGGATGAATGGATAAAAAAAAAATGTGGCATATATACACAATGGAATATTACTCAGCAATAAAAGAGTAAAATCGTGGCATTTGCAGGTAAATGGATCGAGTTAGAGAAGATAATGCTAAGTGAAGTTAGCCAATCCCAAATAACCAAATGCTGAATGTTTTCTTTGATGTAAGGAGGCTGAATCATAGTGGGATAAGGAGTAGGCGCATGGAAGGAATAGATGAATTGTAGATAGGGCAGAGGGGTTGGAGGGAAAGGGAGGGAGCATGAGGTAATTAATGATGCTGGAATGTGATGATCATTATTATCCAAAGCACAGGTATGAAGACATGAATCGGTGTGAATATATGTATATATGTATAAATGAAGACATGAAAAATCGTGCTCTATATGTGTAATAAGAATTGTAACGCATTCTACTGTCATATACAAGACATTAACAATAGCTACTACTAGAACAGTATAGTAAAACAGTATACTATAATAATTATTTAAAATTTAGGAATCAGTTTCCTGAATTCTCTGCTTTTTTTTGGATCTCATTTAACTATGGGTAGCTGCAACGGTGGAAAGTAAAACATGGATAAGGGAGGATTGCTGTGATTTGCACGTCTGGCATGCAATGGTGTGGGATCAAATGTGAATAAAACAGACTGGTCCTGGTACTTCAGGGAAACATTGTATACAGAGGAGGCCACCATGAAAAAATAACAGTGCATGATACCAAGGCAGTGGGTCCTATGGCCATCCCAGGGGAAGGGGCGGTTATATAGCAACAGACCAAGTGTTTTTACAGAGGAAACTTCTTGTAAAAAGTGTGAGGGGACAAGACTCGTGGAGAATGGCAAGCAGTTACCTTGGGTTGGAACATGGAGAGCCAAAAGGACAGGGAAATGGAGGTGGCCATGGCAGGAGACACAGCTGCATAGTTAGCAGAGACCAGGTTGTGAAGACCCTTGTAAACCAGGTCTGGTTGTTGGTGGAGGGTGTTCAGTGAGTACTGTTTATATCTATGTTTCGCAATGATTGAAGCTTATCCCCTCAGAATAATTCAATTAACTTGCCAGCATTTATGGAGGACCTGCTCTGTGTTAGCCTTTTATTTAGAATACACTTAAAAAGTGAGACAATCTCATCAGACTTCAATGCTCTTAAGCCCGAGGTTATTTCCCTGTACAGAAAGAACTGAAGGAGAAATGGGCTGCATGTTAGGATGGAGATGGCCTGAGTGTGCAGTGTTGGTGACACTTTGAGCTACTTGCAGGTTCTGAATTTCAAGGCGCTCATTGGCATCAACCTCCATCTAAGCCCTGAACCTCCTTTATATGACTTGTGAGACCCAAAAGCTTTGATGCACTCTCCTACTCCAACCTCTGCTGGATCTCCTAGTTGCCACTTTTCGATTGTAGTTTTGACCTTTCTGAGACCAGGGCTTTCCACAAGTCTAAGCATCTTGCTTTGGTCCCTGACCTCCCACTTCTGGTCCAGGCCTTTTGTCAGATAATCCCAGCTAAGCTGCCGCCTGTGCCTTATGCATGATAGGTACCTATGGAAAGGGTCATGACGCCCAGTTTGTCTCGCACCAACTTGACGATCATACTCTTCTGAAGTGGGGTGCAGCGGCAACACAGGACAGACCGGCAATACTGGGTCAGCTCCAGAAACAACTTCTCCAGCTTTCCCTGGAAAATGACATTCAGCGTCTTCCCATTGATGACCACACCAACTTCGGGAGCCATAGCTCTGGTGGTGGGGGATGGGGTCTTGGAAGGGAGGCGGAAGCCAAAGAGCTTGCAGCCTGGCTTCTGTGGCTCCTGGAACTGCTTGACCTCTTCCAGTGCACAATTGAGGATGGATTCACAGGTCTCCTATACACAGTGAGAGGATATGGTTATAACATAGCGAGCAACCTTGCAAATGTATGTTAAAATTTTCACTTTAATAATAACAATTTTACTATCATAGGTATGACTCGGGAGTTGTTCTCCAATGTTTACCTTTTCTGCAATATTTTAAATAGCACCAAAGCAATATTAATTTGAAATCAAATAACGGTCAAAATAGACACTGCTTGAGAAGTGGAAATAACTCAGCAAGATGAAGACTGATCCAAGGTTGATTTAAGATAAATAATGCTAATACGATGGTAAATGATGACAATATTTCATGCGGTTATGGTGCTTTTTTTTTTAACAGGTCATTTCAGTGCTCTTTACTTCTTAGAGCATCCTAATGGGTACAACAGAGCTTCATTTAAAGATGAGATTGGAACAGTGAGCTCTCAGGTGACTCACCCAAGGTCATCCAAACACAGTAGAGGAGGCAGGGCCATTACTACCCAAACTGTGGCTTCCTAATTAAAAAGAACACATCAGCCGGCATGGTGGCGCATGCCTGTAATCCCAACTGTGGGGGGAGGCTGAGGCAGGAGGATCACAAGTACAACCTCAGTAAAAGTGAGGTGATAAGCAACTTAATGAGACCCTGTCTCTGAACAAAATACAAAATGAGGGTGTGACTCAGTGGTCGAGTGCCCCTGAGTGCAATGCCTGGTACCAAAAAATAAAACAAAAAACCCCACATCTATCCTGGATTTGTTTTTATCTGTTGGTCTACTCCATAAAAGGTCATAAGAACTGCTGCATGAAATGTTGCTCACTTTGATTTGGACAAAGCATCCCTGTGAAAGTCTTATGGTTTGGAGGAATCCCCTTGATTTTTTCCCCACTGATATTTACTTTGAAATATAGTGAGGAAGTCATTTATTCATAAGTGTTTTCCATTACTTTTGACTATATCAAAGATAAAATCAGATTTTGGTTCTCATTATATTCTTAATATCTCTGTAATGTCTGAACAGGCTGTGGAAGATGGTAGTATTAATTTTAGCAGCATTGCTTTATTCATATGGTAATTACTTTACAGTGTTCTTTTATCCAGGGCAAGAAATAATACTTTTTTCATTTATTGAAGTGCTAAAATTTTATTCTAGCTGGGTTGCAGTGGTACACACTTGTAATCCCAGCAACTTGGGAAGCTGAGGCAGGAAGATTGCAAGTTTGAGGCCCGTCTCCAAATGAAATGTTAAAATAAGGGGGGCTGGGGTGTAGCTCAGTGGTAGAGTCCTTGGGTTTAATCCCCAGTGTTCCCTGCAACTCCCACAAAGTAATTATTCTAAAAATAAAAATTCAAATGAGTTGATTTAAATGAAATAATTAGAAACATTTCAGATCATATGCACATATCAGCAAAACTTGTAAAGTTAGTTCTGAAGTGATAGAACTCTTAACAATATCCCATAGACCTATCTGGGAATGTCTAGAATACATTCTAGAGCAAATGCGGCCATAGCTGTAGCTGGTTGTTCTCAAGTTTTTCTTTAGGAGATAGTAAATGTTGTGAGGCAATGTGGAATGCACAGAGCCCAAAGAAGCCACACGAAGTGGTTCCAGGAGCAAATAGTTGTATTAGAGGCACTTATTTAGGAAATAACACAAGGTGGTCTTTTCTGGAAGCGGGGTTGGTATTGATTATATAAATCCCTCCAATATATGTCTTCAGAAAGGCATTAGAAATGTCAGTCTCAAAAATCAAATTTCTTGACTTGCTTATTTCCAAAGGATTAATTACAAATAGTGACTATTTACTGTCAAGTTTCGATGGTGGCCAATTCCTGGGGAATTGCCCATTTACTGGTCCTCATGCCCTCGCATAATCTCTTTCCACTGAGTGTGAATTAGATCTACCTATTTCTTTCTAATGAAGAAGAATTCCACAAAAAAACGAAGAGGTGTTACTCTTTCTCATTTTATAGAAAAGATTTGCCTTGGAAAAAACCAGTTGCTGTGTTGTGTAGCAGCTCTGTGGAGAGGCCCAAACGGCTAGGAACTGAGGCCTGCTGACAATCACGAGTGGACTTGGAAGCAGGACTCTTCTTACTCCCAAACTACCTATCCAGCTGAGCCTCTAGATGAGTCCAGAGCCCTGCAGGCTTGACTACAACCTCAATAGAGACCTTGAACCACAGGCACCCTGTGAGGATGATGCTTGTGGAAGTCCAACCCACAGGCTCCTAAATCCCCGTTTCAGTTGCTGAACTGTGGAGTAATTTGTTATACAGCCATAGGTAACTAGTATTGGTTACTATAAGTGAATGCTTTTTTTGTGGTCTTATTTAATCCTTCCAGTAGCCTCTTAAGTAAATATTTTAAACCCTTTTACACAGATTAGGAGAGTGAAGTTCAAGAAGTACCGTATTTAGACTATTAAGCTGCACTACAGGTTGTTGATAACAGCAGTTGTTGTTATCAGTCCCTTTAAAAATTTCTTGACAAATTAACATTTCTGGGGATGACTTAGTATTTCCCTCATTTTATGGATGAGAACCCTGAGGTCTAGATAGGTCTCAAATTTGCTTATTGCTTTAAGGTACGTAGGAAAGACACAGTAACCCTAAATCAATTTATAATGAATTAGGCAGATTAAAACCCTTGGAGAAAATATCTACTGAATAAGTAATTACATTAAATGGGGGTTTAAATAAATCTAAGATTTAGAATGTATTTTTCCAGTTTCTGGCTTGACATATTTACGTACCTACTGCTTAATCCCAGGCAAGGGTGAAAAAGACTAATATTGCAGGTTTAGTGGCGCAGGGATAAGGATTCAGGCATCATGTTGAGGGTCCTGGACAGTGATAAAAGGACTGACAGTATGGAATTAAAGATTCCATGACTGAACCGACTACTTGGAGTGTGGCCCATTGTTTCTTGGGAACCTGGGCTCCCAATGCGAAAAGAATGCACTGCATTTAAGAGAATCCCACCCCTCCCCTTCATGCTGGCCACCTCACAGATTTGCATGTGTCTTACTTTCAGAATTCACGGGTGTGTGTGGGGGGATGACAGAAGGACGGATCATGGCAGACAATTTCCTATTGCAAGCAGGACTGTCAAGAATCAATACTATTACAGAGATCAAGCACTTAAACAAGCTGAAAATTACCTTCTTTTCCTAAACATAATACTAAAGCTATAGTTTTACATGAGAGTATTTTCATCTTCAAAATTCACTGGTGTTTAATCAAGCATAATCTGGGCATCTGACATAAAAGGATTAAATATAATCTAAAGGTTCTCAGGCATTCTTCACAGTATACTGTGTGTGTATGCGTTTTCAAATACTTGTGCATGGAATAAAAGCCAAATATAAAACTTCCCAAATTTTCATTCTAGGTCTAGAGTGCACTTAGGCAAGCTGAAGAAGAGAGGCCAGTGTCCTCATTTCCCCATTTTCTGGCTTCTTTAATTCCTGGCCTTCCTCCTCCGTCCTTTTCCCCATGGGATGCCCACCAGCCTGCCTAATCCAACCCCTGCCCCCTTAGACAGGTGTGAACGTCTCCATGCTCACCTCTCAACCTTCTTGTCAAGAAGATGCATTGTGAAAATAATTTGCATTGTGAAAATAGATTTTGCCTCCTAAATGCAAAATTGTATAAGAGCTTGGAATGTTCTTCTTCCCATTTCACACAGCACTTTCCTGAACCTCACTTCCTGCCACCCACAACCTATATACCCTACTTTGGTTGAAAATTGCCTTTTAGGACTTGGCTTCTTTCTCTTCCTTCACCATCAAAACATACTGGACTTACATTATTATTCCCTTGGGGTTCTGGGACATAAAATTGGCGCTGAAGCCTTAAACTTGGAACAGTTTCAATTTAATTGTGACTGTTCTGATGTGTGAATTAATGTTGTAAGAAACTTAAAAATGCGATTCTTGAGTAAATAGTGTTTTAGAGTGTAAATAGCATTAGCCCAGCAGGAGAACAGAGTTCTGGCCTTAGTTTTATCAGAAACTAGCAAGTGACTGAGCCTTTGGGATTGTCTTTAATTTCCTTGTCTGTAAAACGGGGAAACTGGACCAGGAATGGAATTTGGGAGAGATACAACTAACTTGTTTTTTGGTGCCAGGAATTGAACTCGGGGGTACTCGCCCACTGAGCCACATCCCCAGCCCTATTTTGTATTTTATTTAGAAACAGGGTCTCCCTGAGTTGCTTAGCACCTTGCTTTTGCTGAGGCGGTTTTGAGGAGAGGTACAAGCTTGTAATATTGCAGGTAACACAAAAGATCAGACAACATGGGGGGGGGGGGCATATTAAGCTGTGTGATCCGATGTGCTTTCTCTGTGTGCCCAAATCTTACCTATGAGTCTTTCTCCTGTTGACTAGGGTGAAGTTCTATATTTATACGTGATTCCTACTTTGGTCTTACCTGATTTTCAGTATTAATGGAGTAAACGGTGTCGGTCTGATCTAACAGTCTGCAGGAATACGCGATATTGACCGCGGTCTCTTGCTTATCTCCTGTCAAGACCCAGAGCTTGATCCCAGCCTCCCGCAGAGCAGCAATTGTATCTGGAACTCCTTCCTGCAGCCGGTCTTCGATCCCAGTGGCTCCTGGAGTGATCAAAGACACCATAGCTCATATTTATGGTGAAATAGTGGCTTCTTAAGTTCCCCAAAGCCCTATGAAGCAAGGCAATGTTTATTAAATGTTATTAATATGTGCTAGGTCAGGCACCCAGGGTAAACAATGAACTGGGTAGAGCTGGTTCCTACCCTCTCAGAAATCAAAGGTCAATGAAGAAGGATTTATAACTGAGCTAGGTGATTAGAAAAAGCCAATGTGCCCTGTACGTACACACGAGGAGAACTGGACTTCACCTAGGAGGTCAGGAAAGGCCTTGCTGGGGACATATTGAAGATGAAGTGAGAGGTGTAGCCAGGGAGGAAGAGAAGGGCTGCAGGCAGAGTCCGTCAGCCTTGAGGGGTTTGCAATTTATTTGGTGGCAACGAGAGTTATTAAAGGGTGTTAACTTGGAGAGGGACAGGATCAGTTTGTGTTTTAAAATCATTCTAGAGAATGGATTAGGGGTTGGAGGAAGCAAGATGAAATTCAGGGCTAGCAGTTACTTAGGAGGTTGAGCTGAGTGCAGGGGAGAGGTTTTGGTGATCCAAACTATCACAAAGAATGAGGAGAAGTGGAGACACTGAACTCTTTGTAACTAACCCTGCTGGAATTAACAGAGACATTTTTTATAATATACAGGCAGCTTTCACAGTTTTTGAAGGATCTCAAGCTTTGCATCAATCCGGATGAATATATACCCAAATATTGAATAGTTGCTAAGTGATGAAGCAAAAATAAATCTGCATTTAAATTGAGATTCATTTCAGGCCACAGACTAATGGCTACCCATCTCACTCTGGGCAGAAGCAAGGCATTTTGTTTCTTTTAATAATCCAGAGTGATAATAGGCTGGCAAAGCAGTTACATTGGATGCATATTGAAGAGATCATTTCATATTAGGGGACCTAGTATGCAGACAAGGCAGCTTCTTAGTGGCATGCCAGTTTCTTGGTGGCAAGAAGAAATCCCTCCTCAGCCCAGTCCTCTACTTTCCAAGCTATCTTGAGGGGAGAAAAGGAACCTCTCTGTCCCAAAATGTGCCTGTTTTGTGTTTCAGGTTGAAAAGTGACAGCATGAGCCTCATCTTTCCCTCCCAGGGTGAGACTGCAGGTGAGCTTCTGAAGACGACTTATGTAACGGAGAGGAAGAAACACACATTTATTTGTGCAAAAGGGAAAATGAAAGGGGAAGGTAGTGAAGCCTTTCCCTGCTAGGGGAGGCCAGTGGGTTCTGACAAGCTCTCATTTAGCAGACCAAGGTGACAGCCGCTTCTTGCCACCTGGGGCCACAGTGCTACCCAGAAACCAGAGAGGCCTCTTGGAGGGGCAACTTCAGTAGCCTTTTATAGTTGGTAAGTTTCTGGCCTGCCCATTTTCTGGCTATTACTAAGTGACTCTGGTCCAGCTTAAAAGGACCTTATAAGGCAGCAAGCAAAGGCTTCTGTGGCCAAGATACAGGAAACTAAAGACCCAAAGAGGTAGGGAGCAGTTCTCTCTCCTTGCTTGCTGGCTGTTCAAGTAAATCTTGTTGCTACCTTTTATATGAAAAGGCACATATTCTTATAGCAACTTTGGTCTTTTTCCTTGGGCTCTGCTTGGCTGGGTACTCAAGAGATATTTGTCCAGAGAAGCTAAGGTGCAGGGATGTGTCACTGGGCATACAGCAAGGTCATGACAGGGCTTGAACTTGGCCCTCATCCTCTGGTCACCATTACTTCCCTGTCAGTGCATGCTGTCAGACATTGCCTTGGCAAGACCTTGTTCCCAAGGTCTGATTAACAAAGCCTCCTCTTTTGCAATGCTTTTCTTACAGTAGGAATGCAATCTATTTTTTAATCAGTCTTGGTGCTTCTTATCTTCCCCCAGTATATCAATCTACCTTCCATATATCAGTAGTCAGGGCAATTTTTGTAATCTAAGCCTTTCCCTCTCCAAACACTTAGCATCTGATTCATCTAATCCTTCGTAGTGTGGGCCCCACAGCCCTCTCTTACCTCTCATCAATTCTTCCCCCGCACTTTGTTCCAGCCACAGAGAATCTCATATCTGGGCCTTCATTTGGGTCCTTTCAGTTAATGGTTGTCCTAGGCCCTCCTTGGCCCAGGGGTCAGGTTAGTACCTCCTTCCTGTACTTCCATCTCATCTGGTACCTCTTCCAGCCCAGCTGTTATCACTTGTTCAGAGTGACGAAGTTACTTGCCTAAGGATTCAGTATCATGCTAGACTCTGAGTTCTGGAAGGGCAGAGTTGTGGCTCTTGCTCCCTGTTGTAGCCCCAAAGCCTAGCATGTTACCCGACCCATAGTTAGGGCCCAACCTTTGAATGGACAGAAAAAAATGTGCTCTTAGAGAAAGAGCCAAACTCACAGGTTTCTTCCAGCAGAGAGAGTAGGAATGCTCCCAGGCCTCCTCAGGAACCTTGGGTTGGGTGATGACATGGCCCATTTATGCCAAATACCTGGAAGGGTACCCAGGGAAGGCTGCTAATTGAGACAACTCCATAGTGACATCAGAATCAGGGCCAAGAACTCCCTTCCAACTTAGGGAATTCCTTTTTTTTTTTTTTTTTTTTTTGTATAATGATAACTTATTTTTAGCTACCGAGTAAGGTGAGTTGATTCTCCAGACGCTGTGCTGTCTCCATTAGAAGCTCATCTTGGTTGTCAAGGGATGCCTCGGCCTCACGCCGGAAACTGGCCCATCTCCTGAAGTCTTCTTCACTTACTACCTTCAGGACAGAAAGAGGTTTGTTAATAACTGTGGGTGGGTCAGCAAGTAGAATCCCTCCTCTCACACCTGCAAGGCCTGTTTGAGCTACAGGACATCATCAGATGGGGCGCTCTCTTCAATCAATGAAAGATTGATCTGTATGTTCTTATACCACCAAACATCTTTTGAGTCCCCAGCATGCTCAGGGCACTGGAGATGATCAGGCAGACAAGGTCCTAGAACTGGGCTAATGTGCTAGTGGAAGATAAGAGACATTAGATAGGTAAATTAAAAGATCACTTTCAGGAGTACTGTGCAGACAGTGAAAAGGATGATATCATGGAGTGTGATGGGGTAAGAGGAAAACTGGGATAGAGGGCTGTTCAGGTCTATTCTACAAGTGGCAGGCAAGCTAAGATCCAATGATGAGAAAGGGTCAGCCCTGGGAAATGCAAAGCCTGGGTAATAGGAACGAACTTGGCCTTGAGTATATCTGTTGGTGGAAGGATGAAAAGTAAAGTTGGAAGGGACCAAAAACAAGGCTGGAGAGGAGAGGGCAGCCTTATTTTGCACAGTCTAGGGACCACTCTGCTAGGCTTCCTGTCCTACACATAGGTGCATTTCTTCTTCCCTCAGTGTCCATTAGCACTTGTAGACCCTACTTTTTATGTGATATGCATTCTCTTATATAAATTAAGGATTCTTTTGTCCATGCACCAAATATTCCCAGTCCCTGTGTGGAACATTATAGCACAAACCCACAAGACCCAGGTAGGCCTTTTGATTTTGAGGAATGCACAGTCTATTAGCGGGAACAAAATATGCACAAATAACTTTAGAAGATGGTAAGGGTATAATCCTAATTCAGAGTAATAAGCACTTATTACTATCCCTGGCACTATATGTGCATTAGCCTTAGTTAACCAAATAAGATAGACAGCATTTGCACCATTTTGCTCCAAAACAAAACATCTCAGGCAAGGAAACATGTTCAAGGTTATATATACAAAGTGGAGACTGGGACTTGCACACAGGGAGGTCTGGCTTTGAAGCAAGAATTTTTGATCTCTATGTTGCACTAAGCATAATGAAAGAAAGGAGGAGCTCGGGGGATTTAGGGAGGAGAAGCCACCACCTAGCAATGCATGCCCATCATGGCACTCCTACCTGCCAGATGCCCCCACTCTGCAATTTGCAGCCCTCTTGCTCCTACATGGGCCACAAAGATCTGTGGAGCATGGTGTGTGTAATCTACATAACAATTACTGGGCCCAGGGTAATTCCGCAGAACATTGCTGAATGTGTCCCTATGTCCCTCATCATGGGAATCAGCTGCTACACGCTTTTTAGCTGACATTCAATAGAGACCCAGATCCTCTAAATTTTCAAGAGAAGCCAAACATTTAGACTCTATGTGAACACATAAACGTCCTCCCAATTTGAATCCAGGCAAATAATGCAAAATTTTAACATCGAGTTATAGGTTACCCCTTACATGTACAATGAAGAGCAGAGAATGAGGAAAACCACACTGATAAGGGATCTTGCTGCTCAAATTTCTGCTCCAACAAAATTAGTCAAAGTCGTGGATTTTTGTGACAAATCAGGGTTATACAGTGGAGGAGGTAGAGAGAGGGGAGGGGAGGGGAGAGGTGGGGAGGGGGGAGGGTGGAGGATGGGAAAGGCAGCGGAGCACAACAGACACTAGTATGGCAATTTGTAAATCAATGGATGTGTAACTGATGTGATTCTGCAATCTGTGTATGGGGTGAAGGTGGGAGTTCATAACCCACTTGAATCAAAGTGTGGAATATGATATGTTAAGAAATTTGTAATGTTTTGAACAACCCACAATAAAAAATTAAAAAATTAAAAAAAAAATGCAAAAACAAACAACACTAAGCATCTTTTATAAAGAGACCAAAGCAGGACTAAGGCCGTTGAGCTACCTGATGATACTCAAAGCATGCCTGGAGGAATGTGCTCTCACCTTCTTGGCGATGCACAGGGTGCGTAAACCATCTCTTGCATACAAGTCTAGATGTTTTTGTGTCCGGGCGTGGATCTTCTTCAGCTTCTTTTCCACATCAATGTCAGCCACTGTCAAATAGTCATTATTTCCCATAAGACCATGCACAAAAATGCTTAAGAATCCCATCCCCCTGGGATCTCCTCAGCAGAGACATTCTAGCAATAGCACTCCCTAGGAACATCGTAGAACTCTCCTGGCTGTCAGGTTGCCCTGGAAGATAACTCCAAGAGTCCTTAAATTGTCTGTTCTCTACATCTCATTGAAAGCCTAGCTAGGGAAAGTAGGTCCTTACGGTATTGTTCTCAAACACCCATTGGCATGAAAATCACCTGGAACTTAAGGGATATTTCTAGGTCCTGTGGAAGCCGTGAATTGGGACCAGAAGTCTAAATCCTTGTTTACACCTAAGGTGGTCCTGACTTTCAGATTGTTCTCTATCCACAATCTTGTCATCTGCTTTGTTTCTGTGTTGTGTTAGGTCTCGAAACAACTAGAACCTGCATCTCATTAGTTAAATCCGTCACCACACGAACCTTGTTCAATTAGGCTTGATTTCTATATAGGAGATGATCTTAGAAAAAACCTTTTTTTTTTTTTTTGCATTTCCTGTAAATCTAGTCTGAAAAAATATTTTAGTGGGTTGTTCAAAGTCTCCTCTGTGAAGTTCTACATAATAAATTTCTTTCAGAAGTCATTTGTCTTTTTCTCTTGAAATTCTAATACTTTAATCATAAAACGCAAAGCTTTCAAGCCTGGGTTGGCTGGTGTGGGGTAGGATCCCAGTCCTCACCACTTCCTTGGTCTAATTATCACAGACATCACTAATCAATCAATTGCCGCACTCTGTGAAGCTAAGCTTGGAAAAAACTTCAGAATCTGCCTTTAGCAGGGCTGGATTGAGATCTCTAGAGGTCCTAAGTAGTGAACAGAATATGTGAATCTCATTAATCCTACAGACAATGCAAATTTAAAAATACAATTCTTAATAGTGGCACAAGCATAAAGTCCAACAAAGCTCTGGTTTTCTCATAATGTCACTTTGAGGCTGTTTTTTGATGCTATAAAAATCCTTCCAACTATTATTTTCTCATTGCTCAGGTGCCTGAAGCACATCTCATTTGGGCATTGCCTTACAATATTTTATTTTGAAAGACACCAGTGCTTGAGATTAAACCCTTGTCTTCCATTCATGAGACTTTGAGTTTATCTTTTTGCTGAGGCTGCTAGGAACCTCATAGTCAAACTGAATGATCAAACACTCGAAATATAATAATATTTTCCCCTTTCAAAGTTTTTCTTCTCATTTCTTACAGTAACATTGTTGTTCATTGGAAGCATCTCTAATTCACTTTGCAAGCAGGTGAAGAACAAATAAACATCTCCAAGGTAACTTGGATGGCTGTCACCCAGAGATAGAGGACTGTACCTCCTTCAATTCAGAAGCACTGAATTTGCTTGTCTGCCAGAGTCTGGAGATGAAGAGAACTAATTAGCTCCCTTCCCATTCTAAACACTAATCAATCCCCACGAACCTCTTGGCTGTGGTCCACAGCTGATAATGCAGGAGGCGCAGGGCTGCCTGGGCAATTCTAAAACTTGGCTGGAATCTACTATCCTGGGAGAATCATGGCCCATAACTGTCTTCTCCTTGTTAGCAATCAGGAAGCGGCTGCACACTAATTCATGCTGCTCCAAAATTGGACACTGATATGTAGGGACTTTGGAACATTTTTGTGGCTCAGTGCAAGTTTATGACAATCCATCTGGGAGAGGCTGGGGAAAAGGATGATAAGGAGGGACCCTTGAGGCTTCCCATAGTGAACTGAGCCCAGTGCAGGGTTCTGGCAGATGAAAAGAGCATACACTGGGATCCAGGACCCTGGATTTAACACTAGCTAACCCCATCATCTCTCCAAGTCACTTTTCTCCCTGGGTTGAGTTGGCGGCTCTCCAAAGGGAAGGGTGAGGAGCACATTGTGTTCTAGGTTTGTTAATGGATATTCTGATGTAACAACAACAACAAAAAATTGCCTGTGGATAATCCATGTGTGAATGAGTTTGGAAAACTAGATAAGTTAAAGAGCCTTCTCTATTACGAGACTGTAGAGAGTCTTTAATACACTAATGAGCAATGATTCTCCAGGTCACAGTGATGTAAAATACAGTGTTTCAAGGACCTTGCTTTGAGGACATCTTGTGGGCCTGTATTCTAGTTGAGGCCTGCTGGACAAGGTGACACTATAACTTGAGCTCACTGCCATCGGACACTGCCCATCAAACCTCAGAGCTCTCTGTCCCTGGAGCCCTAGAAGGTGTGACTCACCATGGGCTGGGTCTTCCAGCAGGTCCATGATAACTGAGTCTGCTCCCTTGGTGTAGACGATGATCTCACCGGTCAGCGGGTGCCTCACAACGACAGACATTCTCTTCCTGACAGAGTCAAAGCCCAGGGTGAAGAGGAGGTCAAAGGTGAGGCAGGTGCCCTGGGGCAGACGCACGGTCACCTGCTCAGGTGTCCGGGACACTAGTGTGAAGCTATAGGCATGAGCAGCATGCACCAGGGCTGCCTCGTCAGGACTCTCGGCCTCGTAACAGAACTCGGGGCTGGTCAGGCTGAGAGCTGGGCCCCCTGGTACCTCCTCCAAGGATGCCCCTGACTCGGACCCCAGGATGTCACCCTGGTCCCACGTGCTGCTCCTGTAGCCGCCATCTGTGGAGCAGTCTCCACTGTACACAGAGGCATCGTCTTTCTCGTCTGAGTCTGTGGGGGGCATGTTAGCCCTGAAACTCTCCCCCAGGTCTGTGTCAGAGGGCGCAGTGGATGAGAATGATTGGCTGAGGCTCATTAGCTTCAACCTCTGGAAGAGCTGTTGGATCTTCTCCAGGGACATCCCCAGAGCCTTGCTGGAGGGTGGGATGGTGACCTGTGGTCAGGAGGAAAGTCGAGCATTACATTTTGGAAATACTACCAAGCTATTTCATGCAGAACAGGAAGACAATTTTGCATTAAGAGGACTATCTGGGCCTTCTGAGATCAAGGGCAAGTTTCCTCTCCTCTCTGGGCCTTGTCTTACCCACCCCAAAAATGGGAGAACTCAAATTTATTTCCTTGCAGGCCTGAAAGTCTATGGGGTGAGAGTGCCCATTTTCCTTTGTCATTCCACCTTGATCATGGACACAAGGAAGACAAGGAGATGAAAGTCAGGCACTATCAATATTTTGGTTTATGGATGAGGAAGCCCAGGTACCAAGGGGTTAGATAAATTGGCCAAGATCAACCAGTGTGTTGCTGGCAAAGCTGGGACTCGTGACGTAGGTCTGTCTGACTCCAGAGATTGGGCTCTTGAGGTCTCTGCCAGCTCGAGTCCCCCTATGAACTCGAAAACTGAGAGTTGGATGCTGTCTCTTCCAAAATGGTAGGCACTTCTTTCCTTCTCAAAATAATTTCTCCAGATACTGCTTTTTGACTCCCAAATCTCCCTGAAAACTTCTGATCACTTGGTGATTTTTCTGGGGCCAAAGCAACTTCTCAGGGTAGTTTGGAATCTGGGCATCTTAAAGGAAGGTTGTGGTTTGGTGCTTGAGTGAATTCCCTTCTCTTTATTTTGTAACTGCACGTTATATCACCTAGTTATTCTCATCAGCAATTCCCCAGGGGGTGTGGTGAAGAGTTTGTGGATAATTGAAGACGAATCCACTTCGGTAAATTTCAAAGTAAAACTTTACATAAGTGACCATTGTCTGCATATTTCCATGATAAGAATACTTAGTATATTTTAATCCCTACTTAAAAACAGGGGTCAGCGTAACATGGTATTAGTAATCATTATGGTTCTGCTATATATTAACTCCTTTGTTAAATTACTGACATTCTTAGACTGACCATTACTTCACTTGTAAAACCCATAGTGCTTTGGGGTTGTGATGGCTAAATGATAATGCAGGCCAAGTGTTTAGTATGGGGCTGGCACATAGCCAAGCGTTCAGTAAACACTAACTCTTAATATCTATCTTGCAGGCAGATAAAAAAAGAAATTGAAAGTTGCAGAGAGAGTGCTCCTATATAACTTTTCCATTTTATTTCAAATGAGGACCCAGAAAAGATAAGAGATTGGTTCAAAGTCTCACAGTGACGAAATGGTAACACTTGGCTAGGACCCACATGTCTCTCTGATCAGGGTTTCTCCCCTTGCTTCTCTCGCACCCTCTTCTCCCTTACCTCCTACCTTCCTCCCCTCCCCCACCCCCACCCCCACCTCTACCCTTGGTCCTTACCCTCTGTCTGGGTTCTGTGGTTGTGGAAACCATGACAGAGTTGCAGATGGTTAGGGCAAGGAAGAAGTCAGCGATGGAGGACGTGGTGGAGTGAGACGACTTGGGTGGTCTGGCATCCGATAAGGTCTCCAGCCACAGGGCAGCATCTTGGACCTTGGTCAGTAGGTTTTTATCTGGAGTCACATCTTTTTCCTGGAAGAGACAGCCTTGAGTGAGTCTTTGGGAAGGAAGGTCCCCATCATCAGATTTTTGGCATGCCTGGAGGAAAGGGCGATACAGTCTTCACAGCAGTCTTGCATCTGGTCTGATCATTGCCGATTTTTATTGGATTACTCCCTGTCTATCAACTCCCCATATCTTCCAGCTACCAGGTCCTGGAAGTTCTTCCCCCTTCTTCCCTGCTATGCCTCTCCATTTGTTCACCATTCCTGATGCTTCTCACCATGCCCAGACCCTCTGGCCCTCCATCTTGGATTTCCATGCCATCCTCTAAACCCAGGTTGTCGGCTCTCATTTCTTTTCTTTTTGACCCTTCACGTGTATGATTTTTTTTCAGTCCCTAAAACTCCATTTTCCTCCTGGCATTCGAAAAACCTCAGACCTCCACTGTTAGCACGATCGATTCATATGGCATCTAGAGTGTTTTGCAGTTTAGATTTCCACTTTTTACTCCCACTTCTTCTCAGTGTGGACCCTCAGCTCAGCCTGGTGGTCTGTTTGCTGCATTCGAGATGTGCTCCCTCTTCCTTCTGTGCTTCTGATAACATTTTGAAAAATCCTCTCCTATCCACCAAAGTCCTACCTAGATTTCAAATAACCAGAAGTCACACCTGCCCGTGAGATTTTATCCAGCTTCCAATGAATTCTCTTCCTTTTGAACTGCAATAATGAGTTCTTGAAACATTCACATGTAACATGCATGGATGGACCAAGATACAGATGAGGATATTTCAGGATGGTGAGAAATACAGAACTGGCAAGTCAGACCCTATCTGAAGAGTGGTGGGCAATGCTCACATGCTGATCCACTTTGCCAAATAGCCTGACTTTTCAGGATAAAGCAGAGATAAGTGACCTCTTTTTTATTTTTTTCTTTTTAGTCTCTGGGCTGGATCTGACTCATGGGTTTCCATTTTTAACATCTTTATAGAAGTTGCCACTTAATACCATCCCTTTGGTATTCATTACATATTGGCCTATATCTGGTTTTATTGACAGTTCATCCATCTCCCTCTATCTCCACCCTCCCTTCCCCTCAGGAATTGATGCCAGGACAGCTTCACGGGGTGGTGATGGGAGGGGAGGAATGTCTAGCTTTGCTTACTTCTCTGCCGCCATCTTGACCTGACCCATTTTAAATTCACTTTTTTCTGTCCCTATTGACTCTCTCCAGAAGTTAGGCAAGGGCCTCAAAGAAGAGATTGAGTTTTCTATGTGGTTGTATCTTCTAGAACTTTTAACTACAGGTTTCTTTGAAGCAGAAGCTCAACCACCAACCAGTTCTGAGTAGTTTGATACAACAAACTCACTCTACAAAGACATTTACACATAAAGCCATTTCTCTCTGGGTTCAGAGTTTACAGCTAAATTATAGTTTAGAAGGGTCAGTGGTTAAAAAGAACAGACCGAGGGAATCTTGACTGACGAGTGCAGGAGGAAGACTGAGGTTCAATGAGCTTTACAAATAAAAACCCAAGTTTGAATTAAAAAAAAAAAAATTCCAGCGGGTAAAGAGTCCTCAGATGTCTTCTCTAAATACCAAATGCAGTTCCCGAAATTCTATTCTGTCCTTCCTGGGGCTGTCGGTGCAGGTGAGAGCCACGGGGAGGAAACTGGCATGCACACCCTACAGGAATACAGCACACTCTTCAAGCATCCTCTCCCATTTAGGTATGCACCCAATTTATTCATAGCAGAAGTTGATATCCAGAAAAAGCCAACTTACCCAAAGGAAGAGTACTAGTAAAACTATATCAAATCTGCGTTTCCGTCCATCACCCCCTAAGCCAGGGTAAGCCATCCACACTATTTTCAGAAGACTTGCAAAGGGCATGTGCATTATCCACCCTCTCTGGCTTTGAGCACAGCCTTCATAACAGGAGCTCACATTCCTGACTTTCCTACCTTCCTCATCCATGCCATTCACCTGACCTCACCAGGTTGTTGCAGTTTCAGGCTGAGATCAAGCTAACCTCAACTTGATTGAAATCCAAAGAGATGGGCTGACTTCCCCAATGTCACCCAGTGAGGTAGTGTAAAGCCAGAATCAGAGCTGGGATCCCTGGATCTCAGCTAGTACAGGGCTTCCTCCAGTGCCTCTCACCATTTCACCAACTCCCCCAAATCACTGTCAGCCCATTTATCGTGATAAGAGTGAGAGCTCCTGTCCACACAGCATATCTTATGTTCCAAGTGTGCCCTTACCTCATTGCATCCCTGAGCAGCAGCTGAGTGCTAGTCCCCCATTAACCTCTGTATTTCAGATGAGGAAACTGATGTCCAGAGAAGTTCAGTACCTTATTGAAGGTCACACAGTAAGTGGGAGGGATTCCTTCAGCTCATTCCAGATGGCCTGACTCTAAAATTTCTTCTCTCCAACCCCAGACCAGGCATCAACAAGCCTGACCACAGATACCCAGAAGTGGGGAACAAAATTGGGGTCCCTCAAAGCTAGACCCTCTATTTTTCCTTGATGATGAAACTAAGTACAAAAGAAAAAGGGAAGTGAACGGTTCAAGATCATGCATTGACTTAGGGTCAGAGCTAAGACAGGTTTTACTCACTGGACCTCAGCCCCTTACAATGTACTGCTTTGCTCCAAGCTGCCTATTTCCAAATGGGACATGTAAAATGACTGACTGTTATTTACTTCATGTACTTTTACTCTCAGTGTCATGAGAGCCAAGACTGTCTCTGGATGGGTCCTCAGTACCTGGCAGATTGCAGACACTCAAAATGTTTGTTGAGCCAGGTGCTGTGGCCTGTAATCTCAGTGGCTCGGGAGGTTGAGGCAGGAGATTGCGAGTTCAAAGCCAGTTTCAGCAACTTAGTGAGGCTCTTCACCACTTAGCAAGACCCTGTTTCTAAGTAAAACACATAAAAAGTGCTGGGGATGTGGCTCAGTGGTTAAGCACCTCTGGGTTTAACCTTACTCCCTCAAAAATGTTTGTTGATTGACTCCTTTCTGGAATCACTATACCTCATCACTGATTAATGCTTTACATCTTTTTGTTAAAACATTTTTTCCACCCAATCACATAAAAATGCATTTTTTAAAAAGGCTCCTCTGCAAAGGTCCTGCACTGGCAGCAGGCCCAGCCTGTAGGTGCCAGGAGTGGACATCAGTCGATCTTATCCAGTCACCACAGACTTGCCTCTGCAGAGCCAGGTTCTCCATGGTTAATTCTGCTCCAGCCCAGTGGTTCCTTGTGGTCCATTAACATTAGGAACTCGGCCCCTGGAGCACTTAGATAAAAGCAGTGCCTCTGCCCACCACTGGCTCTTTGGCCAGTCCATTTCTCTGAAGGAAAAGAAATATAAATTCGTGGGAGGTCACTAGATATTCAACTCAGAAGTTTATGGACACCAGGTTCTCAATTGGTTGGATTTCTTTCTATTGCAGGACACCTTAAACTCATAACAACCCTCCTGGAGGAAGGTGCTCTCAGAGCTCACCCTCCAGGGTCCTATTATTATCAGATAGCTTTTATTGAGAATGTAGAGTGAAGTCAGGCCCTTTGCTAAACACTTTCTTATGCATCATCTAATCATCGTCGAAGTGCGATAAGGCTACTCCCATTCTTTCATTTTCATTGGGAGGCAAAAAAGGTTCACTGCAGTCAAATAATTTATTCAAGGTTGCAAAATCATCAATAATTTGCTGGACCTTGAATCTAGTTCCACCTGATACCAAAGCCTGGACCCTTCCACACTATGCTGGCCCTTCTCCCACAGTCAACTGGGATCTTATTAAAATGAAGATTCTAGTTCAGTGGGTCTGGAGTGTTTCTAACATGCTCCAGCATAGCTGCTGCTCCAGGGACCACAGTTTGAATAGGAAGTGGAATACTACTGGTTCCACTTCCTTTCTGGCTGGGATGTGTTGCCAAGTTGAAGGCTGAGAAAAGGAGGCCAAGCTCCACTCTGCTGATCTCCTCTCTCTTTTCATGAAAACGCACCCAAGTTGAGATTGGTACTGGAAGCAGACTGGATGCAGCAGCCTGATGCTAAAGGAATCCTCTGAGCTAGTGATGGAAATAAGCAGGACGCCTGGCACTTAGCTCTGGAAGGAAACCCTCTGGTATGGTTGCACCTATGTCCCCACCTCCTCCTTTGATTCTCCTTGACTTGTACCTTTCCTTTCAAAGAGCCCCCATTCTCTCTTGCTGGCCCAGATGGTCTCTCGGACAACACCCCTCATTCCTTACTCTCTCCTCATTAAAAGTCCTTCTCGTTCCTCTACTTAACTTTGATTCTTGTCTCAAAATTTAGCTCAGGTGCTAAGCCTTCCTGAAGCCTCCCGATGCCCCCAGTAGAATGCAGCTGTGCCCGAGTTCTCACAGCACACTGGCACCCATTGTGTCTGCACGACAGCATCATCCTGTCGTCTCTGCTTTTCTTCCTGCTTCCTCATTGGTTTAAAAGCTCCTGAAATCAGGGGCAATTCCCCGTTAGTCCTTATATCCCCAGTGTTTAGCACAGTATTTGCCACAGAGGGAATGCTGACTGTCTGTTGACTGACTGATCAAATAAATGAAAGTCTATTCAAAGGAAATACAGACACTCACCATGTATAGACTTGGCAGAGGTGGGAATCAGGAGACCCTTCTATTTGTTGGTGGTGAGTGTCTCAAGTGGTACAACTTGGGAAAAATTAAAATAAAACACACCTGCTTCCCAATTCAGCAATTATGCTCTCTTCTGTACAGAATACTTCTTTGGGAAGGACACACAGGAAACTAATGATGATTGTCTCGGGAATGGTGGGGACAGAGGAGGGGAGGCACACTGACTTACCTCCAATGGGTCTTTGATTGCCCCTTCCCTTTTTTTGATAGTGATTGGGGATTAAGCCCAGGGCCTTAGGCATGGTAGGCAAGTACACTACCATTGAGCTACACCACCAGCCCCGGTTCCCTTTTAATACATAATCCTATGGTTGTATTAATGTCACGGACACAGACTTGCTTTATTGCTGGGGATCTGGAGGCTAAAATCTTGTTCGGGGAAGTGATATTTTTGTACTGGCAGAGGTTGTGGCCTTGGTGACATTAGTTTGGATAAGGAAATGGGAAAGACCCATGTTAGTACATGTCTTACTTAAGTAGCCCATAGGTTGCTAGGGTCAGCTTTTCCCAAATGGGACATAAGCCCAGGAAGATCTCAGTGGACTAGAAAGAAGGGGGTTCTCCAGATCTCGTCAGACCCCATCTCTTGTGAACAGTGTTATGGTGGCTTTTTGGGGCCCTGGGGGACAAGGGAAGCACAGCTGAGATGGGATTCACCAGTTCCTTCCCTGTGTGGCCACATTAGTCCTGGAAGACTCTTCCCTAACCTTGCAGAGGTTGTGTGGCATGAGGGCCACCCCTCCCATCTGTAGCAGACTGGGGTGCTACAGGATCTTCTCCAAAAGAGAGAGGGCCAAGATTAAGGAAAAGAAGCAGAGAACCTTTTCCCCCTCTAACACATTCTCCTGGAGTGGTAGGGGGCATTCCCACAGAAGGAAGCAGCACTGGAGTTGGGGGTTGCCTAGCTGAGCCGGGCAAACGCCATGATGGGATGACATTCTTTGGTCGGGAAAACATTGTGCAAGTGGCATCTCCTAAACATGACTCTGCTAAAAACTTGGCTGCTTACAGGCCAGGAACAAAAGAAAAGGCATTTCCTTTTCCATCTGCCAGGACTATAAAACGTTGGCCCAGAACTTACAATTTTCCTAAGTGTATTACTCACCTTACGGTCACGGATTTTATAGCAGGCAATTAGAAGATCATCACTGATACTTCCTTGTTTTCTATAGTAAAAGAAAAAAACCCATCTCTGATGGTTGTTGTTACTGTTGACTCTCATTTTATCTTTGGTTTATAGTAAAGAACCGGGAAAACCAATAACAGGCTTCTTGGGAAGGAGGCAGAAAGCACAGCCAAGACTGTGCAAGTTCTGACTCGGCTCACGAAAGGAGGGTAAAGGACAGGTGGCTCAGAGAGATTATCAGACCAGACCGGATACCAGATGGGCAGGTGGGGTGAGGGACCAAAGGCTGGTGGGAAAGGAGCAGGCTCAGAGCCCGGCCAAAAATGCGCAGGGTGGACACACAGAGAACCACTGGGGGCTGCTACAGAAGTCTCTAAGAACTACATCAGCGATCCCACTGCAGCCAGAGATATTTCACACATGAGCATGAGACCCCTTAAAGGCATGAATCACCTGCTTCTGCCAAGGCCTCCCAAGCTGTATGAGGGGGCCTGTATAAGGAGCCGCATGAAGACTTATTTCTTGGTAGGGCAATGGTCTCCTTAGAGTGGCCTCACTCTTGGGTGCCCACTAGAATCATCAGAAACGAGAACATGAATGTTCCTGCCCCACTCTGGACCAGATATACCAGAATCTCAGGGGAGAGAGCTCAATCACTGTGCTTTATGAAAACTCTACATTTCCCCTCCGTGATGTCAAATATGCAAATATTTGCCCAAAGCAGACAGCTTCCCTGTAGAAAGAGTATTCAAAATGTCGGCTAGATGATGCAGCAAAGAAAAAAAATATAAAGGAAAACAAATCATCTATTGGGTATCCCCGTGTCTAAAACATAGGATCTCACCAGGTGTGATGGTGCAGGCCTATAATCTCAGTGACTCAGGAGGCTGAGGCAGGAGAATTGCAAGTTTAAGGCCAGCCTTAGCAACCCAGAGAGGACCTAAGCAACAAAACAAGACCCTGTCTCAAAATAAAAAAGAAAAAGAACTGGGGATGTAGCTCAGTGGTAAAGTGCCCCTGGGTTTGATTCCCTGTAGTGGGGGAAATATGATCTTAAGAATTAAATATTTGCTGGGTGTGGTGGTAGATGCCTCTAATCCCAGTGGCTCGGGAGGCTGAGTCATGAGGATCTGGAGGTCAGTGAGACCCTGTCTCTAAATAAAATCCAAAAAAGGGCTGGGGATGTGGCTCAGTGGTTAAGTGCCCCTGAGTTATCCCTGGTCCTCCCCCACATCCCAAAAAATTAAATCATAAAAATAACTCATGAGCCAGAAGCACTGTTTGTACTTTAATGATGAGAAGATTGAGGCTTCCAATTTATCAAGTTGATCAGAGATGGAGAGCAAATTCATACTGGAGCCGAGATGGAAACCTGGGTGTTGCACTCCAAATGTGCCTGCTTCTTAACTAGAGGGGACCCTGCAGGTTAGCACAGACATCACATTGTTTGATTCTTTGAAAAGCCTAGTAAGAATTTTAAGTATTTTTGGGGTGACAAAAAAATGGAATAGAAAGAGGTTTAATATGTGGCTTAAGGTTGTGCAGCAAGCCAGAGTAGAGCTAAAAGCAGAACCAATATTTCCTGACTCTCAGCCTGCACCCTCCTGGACAGCTAACCATAGATTCTGTTCTACCATCAACCCCAGACTACTTTCAACCTGACTATACAGCAGTATTCTTTGCTCTTCATAACAAGTACAAACGTGTCACCATCTCCACCTGCCCACGCAACAAGAATTGCACCTCAGTTCTTGCAGCAACTTCCTCATTGCGCCTGAATGAACTTAGAACTTGGCTTTGAAATACGCTGGCCAGGGCAGAATGACTATGTTCATATTCTGGAAAGATAGTGGGTGGGTTAAGATGTCCCTCCCGTTGTCCATCAGCTATGGAATCTGCATCAAATTCATTCTGCCTGGTTTGGGCTGCTGAGATTTGTGAGCTGAACAAGAAGGGAACTGATTTGTATACACACACCAAGAAAAAAACCAAAACCTTCCTTTTTCTTCTTAGTTCCTCAGGGGAGGAAGACAGTCATTCTCCTGTGCATGAGATGCCTGTGGTATCTAAGTGGAAGGTGCCCAAAGACACACAGAATCTATGTCTGATGACAATTCACTAAATTCATTTAAAAAGAAATGTTCAGGCATAGAGTTGGGGAAGAACATTCCATTTAGAGGAGGCAAAATTCAAGAGAAGAACGATTGCGATGCACATGTCCTGTTGCTACGTCGCTTGGGAAGATCAAATGGGAAACAAAACTGAACAGAATCTCTGTGAAGCATCGCGGGCTCACTTTGCGTCTCTTGCATGCTTATGAGGGCCACTTGTTTTAACACACTGTTCTCGTTTTAACCTTTTAATGTTGCTTTTCAGTACATGATGTTCATGTACTGAACATGAAGAGAGTTAACTCAACCTTAACTCTTACAACCTTCTTCAACTTAGTACTTACCTAAAGTTAGAGCAGTGACTTATCAATTTCTTTAGGATATAGAGTCCTGGGTTATGAAAACTAGATAGTAATATAGAAAGTGCTTTTGATATGTTAGGTCAAAAATATGGCATTTCTAATAGGTATGCTACAAACTTGAATGCCCACAGCGGCCAGAGTTAACCTAAGGGTGAAATAGGCTGGGTAATTTTGACACAGTCTATGTTTGTAACTGTTCATACATATTCTACCAAAACCATACTCTCTCATTTTCCTTCAGACACAGGAGACCTTCCAGGTTTATCTCTTATTTCTCTACTTTATGGAAACATGGACACCACACATATTTCTTTTTTCTCTTAATTGTGTAATTGGAAAAAGATGCACAAGAAGCAACTGCTGGCTCTCAGCTCAGTGATGGGGATCAGCAGAAGAGCGAGGGGCTGTAGTGAACTGAAGATGGCGTGCCCAGTCCAGGTGACATGATGCCTTAACTCAGGCCAGTGATGGCCATGAGGAACTCTGGCCTAGTGTAGGGAATTTTTCCGATTCCATTTTTAAGAGAAGCCAGAATCTACATGTTTAGATGAACTCTCCAGATTTCCAAGTGTTGCACCTCTGAAATGAACGGGAGTTATACATGCTGACAGGGCACCTGTGTGGAGTCCATTCAACGCCAGGGCCACCATTTTAGGGCTTTTCAGAGTTCACACAGTCATTTATCTTTCACTCACACCCTCCTACCATGGGACACTTGTAATCCAAAGAGGAAAGACAGGGACTTACTATGGAGCTGCTGAAGGCCACAGGAGGCTGTGAGCTCTCACGGCGTCCTACAGACCTTTGTCGGGAGTGGCCTTGGATGGGCACCCGGGCACTATGGCACCTCCTCAGAGGCTGGGCACCACCTTGACTTCTCATCGTTGCAGGGCCCTGGGTCCATCTGGCTGGGAAGGACAGGCATCGGTATTGGGTCCACTCTTCACTGTCCGAGTCCAGTTCCTTTGGGGTCTCTAGTCGTTTGGCTGCAAGAAAGGAGTCCTGTTATCCCTTGGCTGGGCCACAGCTGGGCAGATGCTGGACTTCCCAGGTAAGGTCGCAGTACCACAAGGGTTGAGGCTGCTGTGGAAAATTGGTAACTGGGCTACTGATGCTAGAGAAAGAGGGATACGGTTAATTCTCACAGATTCAAATTCTGTCTCTACTATGTGACTTTGAGCTTCGACAACTTGTGTTTCTATTTCCTCAGTGGTTTTCAAAAAGTACCTGACTCTAGGATTGTTTATAAGATTTAATGGTGACATAATGTATGAAAGTGATTAGCAAACCATCCATACTGGTTAGAAGTAGTAGTTAGTAAATTCCCATGTAGATGATGAACTCTCACCATCGAATGGGCATATGGCTGCCTCTAGCAGCGCCTTTCTTTCTCCATGCCTCCCAACCAAAAGAACGAACACTGCTCTCCTGACAGTCTATTAGACAGTGTGTGCGTGGCGGGGTGGGAGTGTGGCTGAGAGTGTTTTATGGGCTACTTTCAGCCCAGATAAGATAAAACACTTACAGCCTTATCTCCTAACCAAAAACATTGCCTCAAAGTCTGAGAGATTTTTTTTCAAAATAAGTTAGCATGTAAGGAATTTTCTAGGTATGTCAAATATGAGCATGTGCCTAGATCTAGACCTGTTCTGACCTGTCAGCTAAAGTGACCCGAGAAACTCCTGAAGCTTCCCTGCATAACTGCCAATCCATTGAGACATGTCCCCAGTCCCTTCCTGACATACACAGGCTGTGTTATGACTGTCACCAGACAGAGATCCACTGGAGGGTTTCTACATGGGGATCACATTTAGCCTTTGTCAACACATGAAAGTTGACAGGAAATAAGAAGAACCCTGAGGTGTGACAGGGAAGGCCACAGGATACAGGAGGCAACCTGTCCAAATGCCACACAGCCTCTACCCACAGCCAGCTCATGTCTTTTTATTCCTCTTCACTTAGGAAGTGTTTCCTTTTAGAGGGGGGATGGAGGCCCTGGGCAGCCCTCGTACCATTTTCTTGGTGACAATACTCTCTGCCCATGATGGAGCAGCGCCGGAACACCATCTTGTTCTCGGTCAGCGTCCCCGTCTTGTCGGAGAAGATGTACTGGATCTGGCCCAGGTCCTCGGTGATGTTCAGGGCTCGGCACTGAATGGACAAATCGGTCTCTTCATCGTAGAGGTCAAGGTCATTGTGCAGGAAGAATACCTGCCCCAGCTTTACCAGCTCAATGGACACGTACAATGAGATCGGGATCAGCACCTGAGGGGAGATGGATGCCCGCCGAGTCAGAAACCAGGAGGGTTCCCTACCTCCGGACCCATCACGAGTAGGTAGCAAAGGCATTTGATGGAAAGCTGAGGTCAGCTCACAGGATGTTCGTCGTCTGAAACATTAAAGGTCAGTGACTTCACGCCTCCCCTGGGGAGATTCTTGGGAATCTGTGAAGGAGGTGTTTTCTTCAACCTGGGGTGCCTGGGACAAGGCAGGCCCTCACCTTTGGTTTTGAATGAGAGGAAGCAAGTGAGGAAGTCTTAGTGCCACCGTCCAGCATCCCCTGAGCCCTCTTAGATCTCTAGATCATGCAGGGCCACCACCCATTTCTATAGGTACTTACCGCTGATTACTGTCCACTAATTCAACACCTAATATTCATCCAGGGCTTTCTTTGCATTGGATGCTGTTCTATATCTTAGAAATGGGAGTTATCTGAACAAAATTCCTTAAAGAATTCACATTTCAGTGACAGGAAGCAAACTAATAAAGACATATTGGGTGGCCTTAAGTCTTATGATGGAGAATAGAAGAAAACAGTTGGTAGAGAGTGATGGGTGGGAGGGACTCAGATCATGACCTTTGGAGGGTGTGAGTTGTGAGGTTATCTGAGGGAGGAGAGGTCTGGATGGGGGAGCCGAATCGGTGTTTGATGGGTAATAATGAGCTGGCCTTGCACATGCATGAGGAAGAGAGAGGCAGGAGCCAGGGTCAGGGAGGGAGTCAGAGTCCAGATCACTTGGCCCTGTTGTCTGCGCTCAAGGACTTTGGATTTCACCTTGAGCAGATATGAAATTACTCTGCAGAGGACAGGTGTGCTTGTTTACTTTTCAAAAGGATTACTCTCCTTGATAAGCAAGTGATTAAAAGTGGTTCATCAGCCCTGGTGCAGTGGCACACGCCTGTAATCCCAGCAACTCAGTAGGCTGAGACAGGAGATTGTGAGTTCAAAGCCAGCCTAGCAAAAAGTGAGAGCTAAGCAACTCAGTGAGACCCTGTCTCTAAATACAAAATAGGGCTGGGGATGTGGCTCGGTAGTCAAGTGTCCCCAAATTCAACCCCCCATACACCCCTACCCACACACAAAAAAGTGGCTCATCAATAAGAGGATCACGAAACACCTTCATAAAGCACAAGAAATCTAGCCTAGTGCAACTTCACCAAAGACTACTACAACTTCTCTCATCTTTTCATTGACCACATTTTCTTATGGAGCATGAAGACTTTTTAAAATTCATTTCTTTATCCCTAAATGCCTCACATTTGGTTGGTTCTCTCTGTTTTCTTCCATTTTCCCCTTTTCCTTCTCCATCTATTAGATGCGAAAGCACCAACTCCCATTTCCCTTCTTTCTTGATGCTCAGGGGCTGGGGAGTTCTTGGTGGCTCTAGGTCATTAGTGTTTTGTCTGTTCTGTTTCTGTCAAAGAGACAGGCGCGTGTGGGTCACTGTTGTAACCCTACTCTTAATAGAAAAGCCTGATAAACATTTCCCTACAGCTGTTATCTTGAGGGACCAGGTCCCCTCTAGAAGCCTGGGCTGCTCTGAAATGACCTCAAAGCCAATATTTTTAAAGCCTCACAGGAAAGCAATAGCCACCTCCACACCTCCGTCCAGTCACTTCTCTTGTGGCCAACACTGACCTTTCTTTATTTTGCAAAGTTGTAGGGATTAGAGAGCCTCCCTACCTGGAGCAGGATGATCATCGTGAGGAACATGTAGAAGCCCCCCAGAGCAAGGGGAAGATAGTGGCCGTCGGCATCTGGCACGTCGAAGGGAGGGTGTTCCTTAAAGTTCCGATTCCAGAGGCCGTGACCTGAGAAGAAACGGACCCAGACATGAGAAAGAGTCTGCATTTAGGCCGGAAGTCGGTCCATTATATCAGCTCTTGACCTACTCCTGGAAATGGGAGGGCTTGGGAGGAGCCCATCCTCATGTCACACGACACAGGTGTAGGGGTCTGTAGCTCGTCCCTCTCGAATGCGCTCTTCACGTACCCTACAATCAATCCCTAGATTTCACCATCACCGTTAAGTCTGTTTTCCTGGAGGAGATGAACATGCGGATTACTTGTGTTCTGGTGAAGACTGGTTCCCGAGGGGTTGAACACAGGGAGAAGGACGTGTGTTCCTTTTAGTTGTGTGGGCAAAAGTGTGTGGCTGGGAGTCTTGATCTCCCTTCTTCTCTCATCTACCCCTCCATCCATTTACCCATCTTTCTGTTTGTCCACTCACTCCTCCTTCAGCCAATGCTTATCGATTCAAGGAGTCTGTCTTGGTTCTTGAGGAGTTCCCTACCAACCACCCGATGTAAAAGGACACACTGCACACAGCATGAGGGGTGCTACGCAGAGCCTGGAGTGCCATCAGAGCCACAGCCGCTACACTGTTTCCTTATCTGCAAAGGGGATGATAACACCCATGTCTGAGGCCTACACAGGTGAAGTGCTTCTACTACCTGCTGCAGGGCTCTCTGAACATCTCCGATCAGCAGTGTAATCAGTAATACTCAGTAATGACACATCACTACAGGGTCATTATAACCTACTATGTATAAAGCTTTCCGCTCCAGGGTATAACCTACAGGGAATTTTGGAGAATGTTGCTCTGCCCAAAGACACGTCATTGCCCAGGAAGATGGGCCAGATGCCACCACATATGGCAGACGGAAGGAGACTTATGGGCACAGTGCTCTTTGAGGGTGATACTATGGAGCAAATGTTGTGGCACAGTGAGGGGCCCTGATCTTTATATAGGAACAAGATGGTAACACAGGAGAAGTCAGAAAAAGGTGTCAGGAGGAGGAGGACATGTGGAGTCCCAGAACCTGGACTAGGGTATGTATGTGTGTGGTGGGGGGTGTCAGAAAGGCCAGGAAGGGCAGTTGGAGCAAAGAAAGGAGAAACAGCAGGCTAGGGTTGTGGCTCAGTGGCAGAGCGCCTGCCTAGCACGTGTGAGGCACTGGGTTCGATCCTCAGCACCACATATAAATAAAGGTATTGGGTCGACTACAATTAAAAAAAAAATAAAAGCAAACAAAAAACAGTACCCTTAGAAAAACCAGGTGGACCTGTGGTCAGGAACCCTGCAGTGCTGCTCCTTCTCACCTGGGAGCTCTCTGCTCCTGCAGGGCTGAGCTTTAATGAGGCACCCACATTGTTGTGCTGTATGGAAGCTGCTGATCTCAGAATCCCATCCCCTCCTCTTTTATCTTTCTATTTATTGTTTTGGGAACCTGCCAGCTGATCTAGTTGACTGTGCCTTATCTTGCTATAAGGCCTTTTAATCATTAATTTCCTTTCTCTGGAGATACAGTGAGATGATCTTAAATGTCCTTTCAGTGCTGACAGGCCTTGAAAAACCTGTCCCAACGCAGGGTCCTGCAGAACTCTGAGGGCACAGAGGTGGCCACATGGGCAGGTGCCTGTCCCCAGTGCTCTCCTTGCAGCCATGAGCCACCGTTGCATGGAGTGCTACTAGACAAACTTGGGAAGTATATTTATTGAAAACTCCAGGCCACCCCCAGGGTGGTTTACCCTAGATCTGAGCCCAGGGGAGGTCTTCACCTCTCAGATACTATCTCAGCAGCAGCAATGTTACATTTTCTAAGGCAAGCAGAGAGCAAGCACCATCATGCTCATGGGGTTGGTTTTAGCAGTGGGGTCTCCACCCAGCCCACAAGTCCTTCCTCATGATCATCCCTGGTTCTTTTGAGGTCTCCTTTAGCATCCCAAGTATCATTATTAGATTTCAACTTAAGGGGGTGAATGTGTAAAAGCTTTATCAAGGGTCCTCTACCTTCAATCCGAGGATCAACTTAAAGACTCCAAATCACTCCTGTCCATACTTCCTGAAGTTGGCCATGGCATGGTGTGGATTCAGTCTCTGTTCTTGGCCTTGCTCCTGCCATGTCAGATAGCCAACTGCTTCCCTGTCTGTGGTGATTTGTGTTCTTCCTTGTGCATTATGGGTTCTGTCCATGAGGCTATAGTAGCCCTCCCTCTTTCTTTCCTCACCACTGGCCACCCCATCCTACCCCTAAACTCGCCTCTGTCATCTCCTCCTCCAGTGAATGCCTACTCCATTTGGGAATCAGCTCAAGCAGCTGCCTCTTGAAGATGACATTGGTGTTCCCATGACACCCACTTTAGGCTGAATAATGTTTGTCCTCCCTCACCCCCATCCCATAATATACAGCCTAGTCCCCAGGCCCTGTGAATATGCTCTCTCATATGGCAAAAGGGACTTTGCAGATGTGATTAAGTCATGGGATTTGAGATGGAGAGAGTCTGCTGGGTCACCTGGGGGGGGGGGTTCAGGGATGTTAATTACATCCTTATATAGTATCCTTATACTATACAAGTATATAGTTATACAAGTATAAGTTATACAAGTATCCTTATATAGGAGGGAGATACTGCTCCTGATGAGAGGGGGACAGGAAGGGCCTGGAGAGGTGTGCTCTGAGCATGAGAGCAGGTGGAGGAAATGGCCATAAACCAGGGGGCACAGGCAGCCACCGGAAGCTGAAAGAGACAAGGAATGTATCCTTCCCTCAGCCTCTAGAAGGAACCAGACCTGCTGATCTGAACCCAGAAAAAACAGATTCTGGACTTCTGACCTCCAGAACAGAACTTTATACTGATCGATGCAGTCTGTTCATTTTTAAAAGCAGTGATAGAAAATGAAGGTAGTATTCATGTGCAGCCCTCACGGAGAGGGGCAGATTGGACCAGTGGTCCTGCTCATGTTTGACTCCTTCATGCTAGACAGGAGCCCTGGAGGCCCAGTCCTGTGGCCAACTCACCTTGTGAGTCTCTCACGCCCAGAGAGTGCCAGGGTCCCATAAGTATTTCATGAACCAATACATGATAGCCCCAATATTTACGAGCACATATTACTTTCAGGAGATTTCTGCATTTTTATTTCTTTGGCATTTGAGTCAAGTAGGCAGCATAAATTTTATTTTTTTCTGAGCCCTATTTTATAGATGAGGAAACCGAGGCTCAGAGAATTGAAGCAACTTGCTCAAAGAAACAGCTTAGTGTGCTTCCTTTCCAGAACATTCCATACCTACAGCTCCAATGAGACACATGAGGAAGAGGAGCCCGATGCAGAAGAAGATGTCTGTGTTCATGCGCCGCTCCATCTTGCTGCGTTTGTACCGGGGGCCGCTGTTGTTCAGCATGGCTTTTGTGTCATGGCCTTTGGGAGAGAATGAGAAAAATCAGTCCCTTGGTCCCTTGTTACCTCTGCCCTGGATCACACCCTTGGCTTTCCTCATCAGAGCTGGGGATAAAAGTAAGGTTTCATTTGCTAGTGGAGCCTGTCCTGCCTTGAGGAGGTTGCTGAGGATGGGTAGAGGGGCCTCACCAGTGTGCCAGCAGGTGTTCACCGAGTGTCCCCTACGCGCCAGGCATGGTGGTGGACACTGACAGAGCTACCATGGCTCAGCTCTCTGGGTACCCCTTATTTAGTAGTCGGAGACTAGTAAGGTTAGTAGGACAAACTTGTGGCAGATGAAAGTCCGCTGTCTTTAGGAAGGGCTGTGTCTTTCTAATTTGCCCAGAGGCACTGTTCTGGCCATTATGGTAAGACAAAGCGTTCCCTTTCTGGCAAAGTTATACAAAGAAACAAATAAGAGATCCCAGTATTAATTAGTCCCATAAAATAAATGAAAGTAGTAATCAAAGGGCTGAGGCAGGTAAGGGATGCCATTAGACAGCATGGTCAGAGAAAGCTTCTCCAAAGAGGTAACATTTAAGGGAGGGAGAAAAAAGTTCTAGGCTGTGAGATTGTGCTGTGCAAAGACTCTGTGGTAGGACAGCACTCAGGGCCAGTAGTTCCTATATTTCCCTTTTTGGTTGTGCTTGAAGAGATGGTGTTTTCTGTGCGACAGTAATAGGGACCAAAGGCCATCACCCTAGCACTGACTCCGAGTAGCCTCAACCCTAACTGGGACATTTGTATAAAATTTCATTCAACCAAAGGATGACAAAATTTGAAGACTCTCTATCTCTTCCAGTTATCTCCTTTTTTCAGTTGGGAAAGGGAACAACCAGAGAGTGGAATGGACCTTTCCAAAGAGAGAGAATAAGTTGACATAATAAAGTCACCATAGGAAGCCACGATTCTGAGTCCCAGTCTGGGTCTCCTTCCACCAACCTGTGGTGCCCCACGTCACACAGCAGAGAGCTAAGAGTCAACCTGAGACACTGCCTTGGGACAGAGCCTCCCCTCTAGGGTTGCTGGATTTTAATGTCCAAGCTGCACTCTTCCTTGGTGGTCAAATTTAAAAATGGCAGTCACATATTTTCTGTGCAAAATCAAAGAAAACCAATGCATCAGTTCCAGAAGCAAATGGCTTCAATGCTGCTTCGCTGGTTGCCTTGTGGATTTAAAGCAGCAACAGAACAGCAGGAGGGACTGAACCCCAGGTTTATTAAGTTAGGCTCAAGTGGCTGTGCTTGGGAGGAGTTCTGCAGATGAGGAGCACAGGCCAAGTGCACGCATAGCTTTCCACCCGCCTCAAGCTCAGTGTGCGCAGGGGGTCCTGGGACCATGCTCTTTGCCCACCTGCTCCTCACCTGCTGAGACTCCACCTGTTACCTGGGATGGAGTTGGGTACATAGGGAGGCACTGTGGTATTGTGGCTCTTGAGTCAGAACTCAATTCGGCAGATATTTGATCTTGGGTTACAGGGAATTAATCTAAAAGACATGTGACTTCAGGCCAATGAATTCCTCTGCTCCTCAATTCCTTATTGGTCAAATGGGAGATAATGATCATGGGTGCATTTGAGGTGGGGGCCTGAATGAATATAGATCAAGTACCTAAACTAGTTCCTAGCCCATAGTAGGGGCTTGAACACTGCCTGCAGTGATGAGCACACACCTCCACACTGCATTTCTTCCTTCTGGAAAGCTCAACTTGGCCTGAGTTCTTGGCCCTATATGTCTGTCGACAGTTTCACAAAAGAGAAGATAACTCTGGACCGTTATTCTTAACCAGTGGTGATTTATTCTCATACATTTGGCAATGTATGAGACATCTTTGACTATCTTAACTCAGAAATGGGGTGGGTCTAATGGCTGTACTGGGTGGAGACCAGACATGTCACTCAACATTTTACAAGAAAGCCCCTCCCTGCAAAAAATGTTATCAATGGACCAAACATCAGTCATGCCCAGGTTGAGAGACCCTGATCTACATAGTGATACTCAAAACAATGAGCTCCATTTTTGTGTGTGTCTAATTCCTTCTAGCTACTATTCAGGCCTTTTCACAAACAACCTCCTTTGATCCTTACACTGCTGCCAGGTAGGAACTATTAGTTCCTCTTGCATAGAAAATTTCACCAGCTCACACAGGAACATTCAGAACACAGTGGATCTTCTCCCCAGGCTGCCTGGCTATCCATTAAATTCCTTTCCAAAAGTTACTTATCACTCATTTAGTGGTTCTTTGTCTTCACTCAGGCAGAGAAGCACAGCTCTAAATCTGTGTGGCTTTTCTCTTTCTGTTTTCTGGGGGCAGAGATTTCTGGAGAGTTCAGGTACAGTAGGTCTACCAGATGGTGCTGAACTTCCTTGCCAAAGAGCCTTGAAAGAAGTCACCTGAACTGAAAAACATACTCCTCTCCCCCCAATTAGGAAAAGCTAGCTAACTAGTGACATTAATTTTAAAAAGACCTGTTTTTCTTTGACAACCCTAAAAAGTAAACCTTAGAGTAGATGGATACTTATGTCTATCTTTCATGTCTATCAATATGGAGTTCTACTCAGACCAAAATGAATGAAACCAACCAATGAAATCAAAAAAGCAAAAAAACTCCAAAGCATCCCAGGAAATGGAGATGCTTCTAGTGAATTATAGACTCTCCAGAGACACCACTTCCTCTCCAGAGGACAATGTCTTTCATGTAAGGATAGAAATCTACCGAGCACCTACCACACACCAGCAGTTAGGCAATAGGGACTCACAAGAGTGCCCTTTGAGACTTTTGATTACTTTGGGAAGAGTACTGCTCTCACCCCTGTGTTATTGGGGAGCTAATCAAAGTAGAAAGGAGGGAGACCCCTGCTATGGTTTGGATGTCAGTTATTCCACCAAATGTTAGTCTTCCCTAGAGCTGAGTCAACACCAGTTTGGAACCTCCCAAACTGGGAACTAAATAAACCTCTTTTCTTTAAAAGTTACCATGTATCAAGTATTTCATAGTAGCAGTGAAAGTGGACTCAGAGTTCTCCAATCTACAGCCATAAAATAAAGATAACAGTAAAAGCATAATTACAAAAATTATGTAAAAAAATTACAAAACCCATAATCCAAGCCCATTGAGCTCTCACTGTGCTAGAGAGAGTGCCGGGTGCCTTTCATGGGTTGGGTCATCTGATCCTCAAGAATTCTCCAGAGCAGATACAAGTACTCTTTGCACTATACAAAATGAGTAAATTTGGGCATAAAAGATGAAGTTGTTATGTTTAGTGAGGTTATTCTATAGGCCCAAGAAGACAGTCACAAGACAGTCCCTCTTTACCCTCCCTTTGGTTAGTGTCACCAATCCACTGGGTGGGTGAGTGTGACCCTATCTGCTTCAGATGAGTGATATGACTTTGGAATCTCATTATTACTTTGAAGCCTCCTGTGGACTGAGCAAGCAGGTGTGGTCCCAGCCTCAGTTTGCTTACTTGAGGGATGGGCTGCTATGTGACTCTCAGTCCTTTGAACTGAGGCGAGTTCTTATGGAGTGAATGTAGATTTCGAGGAAAAGGATAGAAGAATAAAGAAAATGTTGGACAACAGAAAGGCCCAAGGACAATGACCTGCATAGATGACAATGCCAACAGCCATCTCCGTGTTTCTGATAGTGCAGCCTCGAAGCAGAAGACTCTCACTGCCGAAGCCAGTCCTGGTCTGGTCAGGATGCTCCCTGGGGATGATGAAGGAGACACAGGGTGGTTTGGTGGCCTGTCAACATGGTCACTGGTTTGTATCACAGAAGAAAACTGTGAGTATATGTAAACCTTCTCCTCCCTCATTTTCAGAGGGCGGTAGTAACCGGGAATCCACTCTCCTGTAGGTTCAAGGGCACCTGCCTGTCATGGTTCCTAGGCCTGGGTGGGGGGCTGGACCATCAGAATGGAGTTGTCCACCCTAGGAAATCCTCACTTACTCCCCTGTGAGGCCTGCTCTGGTGCCCCTTACGCAGCATTCACACACTTGTGCTTGCTGCTGCCAGGGACCTGATCAACCCAAACTGGACATCCAAGTGCATCGTGGACACTAGATAGGTCTCTCTTTTACCAGGAGACAGGAAAGGCGGTAGGGTCAGGCAAGGAAGGGCAGTCGCCACTTCGTCTCATTCTGAGAAGAATTTGGCCTCTCTCCCGTTCTATCCTTCCCTCAGTCTCCCACAAAATAAGCAGAATTGGATAATCGCTATTTGCCCAACTCACTGGTGGCAGCCTCTTAGTGAGGAGATGAAATCTCTTCCTTCCTGCAGCCTTGGGGAGCATTGCATCTTCCATTGCTCTAGAAACTTCTGAGTAAGACTGATTATATTATTTCCTGGGTTCTGGCCCTTAGTCTATCATGATGCCTTTCCTTGGAGAATTTTTTTTTTTAACCAACTTTAAATATAATGCTCCAGAAACATTAAGAGGAAAAAAAATAGTTCAGACTCTAAAAACTTTCTTTCCTTATAGTTCTTCAGTATTTCATTTCCCTACATCTGCTTGCAAGACTTTTCCATGTGTTAACTAAGCCTCATAAGAGGCTAGGGCATGTTGTCATACCCATTTCACAGACAGGAAAACAGAGGCGGGTTTGTATAGCTAGTAGGTGGCAGAGCAGGATTCACACTTAGGAGGTCTGGCTCCTGAGTGCTCGGCTGCAACCTAGTGTGCATTTTAATGCTAATAATTCCTGTGTTTATAAACTACATTCACTTACTTGGCCTTATTTGAATCTTTATAGCTCTGGAAAGCTATCAGGGTGGTTATTTTTGCTCATGAAAAAACTGAAGCTCAGAAAGGCTGAGAGTTTTTCCAAGACCACACATCTAGTGCCTGGAGCATTGGAGGACCTGGAAATGCAGGTAGCAGACAACAACCCCTGATGAGATTTTCACTACTCTGGGGTTCTCAAAGTGCCACCCCCTTACCTGATTCTGTGAATCTGTCAAGGAGGATGTCCTCATTTCAGGTTGGAGTATTAACCCTGCTATGCCACTTGTCCATCCTATTTTTTAACACAGAGGAGGCTTATGACAAATGGTCTTTCATTAAATTAGACAATAAAGGTTTTGATGTCACCATATGCGTTTTACTATGACCTTCTATGTATAGCAAGTGATATTATTTTTCAAAGGTCTAATTGTATAAATTTCCCTTTTGAATTTTAAAAATCAAGCAATTACAAATTTGGTAGGAAAAAGTATAGATTTTGATGAATATGATAAAAAAATCATAAAGGTGGTCTGAGGATGACTTTTAGGACCCATGATTGCTCCTCCTATCTATCTATCTATCAAGGAAGAGGCTAGCTGTGGATTGACTCTCGGGCTAATGAATCTTGAATGTGTCTGTCAGTAGCTTATGGTTTAAGGAACACATTTATGATGATCTGAGGAGATATCATAACAGAAGCTTCCACTTCTAGTAATAACGTTCTTTTTTTCCAAAGGACAGTAGGAATAAGCAGGCCGGTGGGGGAAAGGATTAGCTTTCTCATAACTACTGCTTTATTGAATGCTCTTTGTTTACAGGGATGCTCTATTTAAAGGACTCAGAGACATTTCTCAATCCTGGCATTATTAACATCTTGGGCTGGGTGATTCAGTGTGGCGGGGGCTGTCTTATGAACTGTAAATGTTGGGCAGCATCCCTGGTCCCAACTCACAAGATGCCAGTGACACGACTCCCCAGTGTGACAACCAAAAATGCCTCCAGATCTTCCCAAGTGTCCCCTGGCTGGGGAAGAGGGAGATTTCCTCTAATTGAGAGCCACTGTTCTATAGATTCTTTTGTTTAAAAATTGCATTTTCAAATTTGACATTTATAATCTTTGATTAGATCAATAAAGGCCGTTCATCTTCTAGTTGACCTGTGAAGTCACAGTGAACACTATAGAAGATCCACAGAAGCTTCTGGGGGAAACCCAGAGACATCAGACCAATGTTTTTTTTTTTTTTTTTTTTGGTACCAGGGATTGAACTCAGGAGCACTTGGCCACTGAGCCACATCCCCAGCCCTATTTTGTATTTTATTTAGAGACAGGCTCTCATTGAGTTGCTTGGTGCCCAATTTTGCTGAGGCTGGCTTTGAACTTGCAATCCTCCTGCCTCAGCCTCCTGAGCTGCTGGAATTAGAGGCATGCACCACTGCACCCAGGGCCCAGTGGGTTCCCTCATGAAGAAGGTGCAAACCGTCTCTGGGTCATTCTCCTTGCCTAGCATGGCCAGGATGCAGGACCACATCAAGATGGCCCATTGTCCATGGGTTGGCTATGGGACTGACCCATTGGGCTTTCAGGATCATCTGTGGAGCTCAGGCCGGTGGGGGAGAGTCAGCTCTCTGGCAGCAGCAACCAGGAAGAGGAGATGCTGGGGTTGAGTGGAGCTGGGACAGTTCTGTCCCAAAATCTCTCTGATTAAAATAGGCTAGAGCCTAGGTTAAAAGCTAAGAAGTTCAGCTGGACAGAAGGTATTTGAAGGAGACAGGGTCACAGATAGAAACCCATCCATGAGGCTGTTCTCTACGGAAATGAAAATGACTTGGGATGAACCAAATCCACAAACCGCAGGTGCGAGGAGTGCATTCCTTGCCAGGGCTAGTGACAAGCTCTGCCTTGCCAGATGCCCGCCATGAAGTCCTCCCTGTCCCCAGCTTATGCCTTTCCCTGCCTGTCTCCACCACCCTTCCTGTGTATTTAAAAAGCAATTTGCCTTAAAAGCTGTGGTTTCTCCTGCACTGTTTTTAATCTTTCACTTCTCACATTCTCCCTCTTGACATCCCAGACAGCCGAGGAAATGCGAATGGAGAGAAGCACAGAAGTCTTCTCGAGATCATCCCAGGCCTATTGGTGAGAGGCTGGCATGACTCTGTGAAGCAGGACAGTAGAAACATTTCAGGGTTGGAGTCTGAAGACCCATATTTAAGTCCTGGCTTTGTCTATACCTGCGTGAGTCTTTGGTGCATCTTGACATCTTAGTTCATCAGACTCCCCATCTGAAAAATGGGGATCATGACACCTGCTTCCTTGGGTTGCTGGGAACATTTAGATGTCGTGTGAAGTGCTCTAAGAACCGTTCGAGCATTGTAGAAGGCACGTACTCACATTTGTTACCATTGCCCTTATTTTGCAGACAGCACAGTAGTCTGATGTGGAAGCAGAATTACAGTAAAATTTTTAGACTGAACCAAAGTGGAAGAGTGGCAGTAATTGCAACTACAGCATACCAATAGATGAGCATTTATTCTTTGCCAGTTGCTATGCTGAGGGTCTTGATAACTTAATTCATGGAAAAGTCCTATGACATAGATATTAATTTGACAGATGTCTGTCAAACTCTGAGGTCTCGTTTCGTAACTATAATCCATTTTACTTAAATTATCCTTTACTCCCCCAACTCAGAGATGATCTTCATTGTGATGCAATTTCACTAAGATTCTAAATAAGTCTCTGGTGAATTTCACCTTGACATTTAATGAAGGTCACTCAGGAAAAAAAAATATCCAACTTATCTCTCTCTAATCTTCCTTTATGATAAAAAAAAAATAAGATTCCTCAGGATCCAGGTGCTTATCTGTTTGAGCATTGCAAGCAAATTTCCTAGCTGCAGAGGAGACATTTGCTAGCAGAGCGGAGGCACTAGATACTTACATGTAACCCTTAAATTTGTTGAGGTGGTTGTTGGGTTTCTCACACACGATGGTATTGCAGAAGTGCTCTGGTTGGAACTGCAACTCCTGAGAGAGACAGAATTCTGTGAGGTTATTAAGTCCTACTGATTTAGTCTTAATAGGATCATCCAGAGAGCTAATCGCTACTAGAACCATCACGAATAAGGTGATTCCTGCTTTGTCACACAGTGACAATTGCAACGTGTAGGAAGCAGAGTTAAATCCTCATTGAGGAGGAGAAAGTAGATATGAATGGAAAGATGGGTGCAGGAATGCCTCTGAACTGACTGTGTTTCTCAGGCAGGCCAGGGTTCCAGTCCCCAGCCCAGTGTTGTCCAATAGAACCTACTCCAATCATGGACATGTACATTCTAAGGCTGTGCTGTCCAACACAGAGCCGCCAGGCACATGTGGCTACTGAACACTTGAAACATGTGGCTATTGAACACTTGAAGCTTGACCCAGGAATTGGTTTTCAAATTGAATTTTCATTAAAGTCAAATAGCTACCTGTGGCCAGTGGCTAATACATTAGGCAGCACAAAAATAAATGATCAAAATGAAGGGGTCATAAATCACACTACCTGGAGAGAGCCACAACTTATACGCTCATATAAATATAATACTTCTAGGGTGTTAAAAGATATATTCACACATATGCATGCCCACAGGTACATTTATGCATTTCAAAAATGAGTTGGTGCTCCTGTATCTTGCACATTTTTACATGCTACAAATTTTGTCTATGAAGACCTGAATAGAAACCTATTGTGTGAATGTGCCCTATTACCTGTAAAAGCATTTCACTATTGAATAGTTACAATGTTTCAATTCATTTTCTATTCTAAAAATACTGTGAAAATAATAGCTAATAAAGCAAAATAAATCGCATTTACCAGACTCTTAATTCTGCCTGACCCTGTGATGAGAAGTTTACACTTTTATTTGTTTTTGGGCTTATAATTATCCTATGAAGCAGGAACTTTTATCATCCCCCTCCCTTAAAGTTTGGAAAAATAAACATTCATATATATATATGAATTGGCAAGAACATACTTTATATACAAAGATATGAAAAATTGTGCTCTATGTGTATAATAAGAATTGTAATGCATTCTGCTGTTGTGCATTTAAAAGAATAAAATTAATTTAAAAAAAGGTAAGGGAGGTTGTCCAAGGTCATACCATGAGAGGGATTTGAATTCAAATCCAACTGCAAAACCTCTTCCTGGGGAACAAACTTGTAGCTAAGTATCTAAACATATTCTCAACTCTGCTTATTAAAGGCATTTTAATTGTACAAGATTTTATGGTATAATGGGTAAAACTCAGTTAGGGGTGAAGAACTGTTTCTAACTCTACACTCCTGGTTGACTCATTCTATGTTCAATTCTTCAGCCTCAGTTTACGCATTGATTAACACCACCTACCCTGCCTGACTCACGCCTCAGAAGAGAGAATCTGGATAGAAAAGTTTGGAAATGTGGAACAAATAGAAGGCAGTAGTTCTGTCAGATTGGAAATGCTTACCTAGGCAGAGCTTACAGCACTAGGAATGAATTTATCCCTAGAGTTTCAAGGTACAGCTGTTCGAAAGGGCAGATTGATTTGGAGAAATGATAGCGTTTTCTGCCTTTGTGTAAATATACTCTCCATTGCATCTGCGACAGTGCCAATATAAATAAGCTCTCTACTCACTTGAAATAAATTACCCATCTAGGAGTTTCTAAAAATATGGCCCCCTTCCCTCCAGGAATCGATCCTTTCAGGGACAAACAGTTGCCGAGTTCTGAGACACACAGATCATGCTGTACTTTGTTAGCTTTCAGACCCCTGATTAAGTCGTGTGCTCACTTAAAAAATTTTTTTAGTTGTTGATAGACCTTTATTTTATTTATATGCGGTGCTGAGAATCGAACCCAGTGCCTCAGATGTACCAGGCAAGTGTGCTACTGCTGAGCCCCAGCCCTCGCATGTTCACTTCTGACCCATACCACTCAGCTCATCACTGGGTTTCCACATCCAGACCCATTTCACAGATGAGTGGCAGTCAGGAGCCTTCTGCAATGACTGAGTCCACACTGTGCTTTCATCACACTCTGGATCCCCAGCCAAGGTGAAGTTGATTCTGTGACTTCCTCCTGAGGCCTCCCTTCCCTGATTCCCTTCTCTCCTTTCTCTCTGGGCACCGGCCTGGGTCTTCTGCCTGCCTTTCTCCATATCAAGGTGACCTTGCTCTCTCTAGCCACCTGTCGCTTGGCTCCTTCCTCCCCTCTGCATCACAGACCCCGGAGAAGGGTACTCATGCCCTCTTGCCTTTGAGGATTTGCTGGAGCTCCTTCCAGGGAGGTTGCTGGGACACAGCCCGGGGACGGGAGGAACCGCCATGCCACATGAGATCTGTCAGTCTCTTATGTAAGGTGCTGCCCTTTGGTGAAGTCTCACTGATTGCCAGGAAGGCACAAGGAAAGTCTTTCTTCCAGGGAAGATTGTATGTCCTTGGTTCTTTAGGGCAGACTTACCGATCGTGAGCACTTTGTCCCAGACACTTGTCATTAATTTACCGCGGTAGCTTTAAGAGGTTTGGACAAAGGTACAAGAGGAGACTGAAGTAAAGTCTTGTGGTTGTTGAGTAACAGGCTGGAATTGCAACTCACATCATTGAAATCCAAAGTTACTCATCACCATCATCATCACCTTGATTATTCTTCCTGCTCTTCCTGCTCTTGTCATTACTGTCAGCATTGATTGAGTGCTTGGTAAAAGGAACTAAGTATTTTAAACATGCTCGCTTCTTTAATTCTTATGATTAACTATCACATAGTTTCCATTATCATCCTGTTTTACAGATAAATAAACTGAGGCTTAGGAAGAAACCCTGCTTTCCCCAGTGTCTTTTGGCCAGCAGAATAGGAAGACAGGGGTTACCCTTATGATTTCGAATACTATGGTGTCTGCTTTCTTGACCACAGTGTCATTGGGTGTATGAAGGAAAGGCTAGCATGAGTTCTTCGCTTGGCCCTGTTTCCTTTTCTGGTTTTATTTCCCACTTCCTGTGAATGAAGTGCCTGATGTACTAAGTGAATCCATTCTCCATAGAAAATACATAAAATGGCCATAGTACTCAGTGCAATGTTGCCTTTTTCAAACACATTTGCTTTTTAAAGTAGGGTACCCATGACGGGTATGCATAGAAGTTAAGGCACTAATTTGCCTAGAAAACATTCTCTTAAGGATTGCTTTAAAATTTAGTATTGAAGAGGCGATTTTGTTCCAGTTCTCCTTTGAAGCCCACTCTAATCCCCATAGACCCTTTTACTCCACCCCAACAGAATTGATTGCTCTTTTCTGGGTGCAAGGTTTATGTCTCTGTTTAACACACGTGTATCTAGGTCTAGTAGACTGTCGATCTCCTCTAGAGTGGTTCCTGGAACACTTTATTTCAACAGATACACCATGAAGATTTGTTAGAGTTAGTTTTGGAGAGCATGATTCTAGGAATGTACATCATGAAAGATGATGGACGAGGAGATAGAAAGCAGGCCTTGCTGTAAAGACGGACCCACACGTTAAGTAAAGTCTCAGGTCTGATCTTAATTGATATGAAGGAAGGTGGTCACTTCTTTTATGGGAATGCATTTTGGTTCAGCAAATAAAAAACATCTTCAAAATCCTAGATCCCACTCATTCATTCATGAGTTCAAGCGTTTACTGAATACCCATGTTATACAAGCCAGGAGGGAAGGAGGAAGAGATTAGAAACCAAATGAATTACTGGAGTTATAAAACACTGCAGTTCCCGGTCTTGCTTAGGTGTGTCCATGGCGGGACCTCTGAAGGCCAGAGAAAGTGAGCCAAAGGTCAGGGTGCAATAACTCCCCAGGGTTGAGGTGCTCCTGGCTGACCTGTGCCCCTGATACAGCCTGAGCCCCTGGGGAGGCCAAGAAGAAATCGTCAGACTGAGATACATTCAGGCAACCAGAACAGGCCATTTCCCTGGTGCTTGCCACACATTGTACCTTTGGGGTTTGCTTTCCACTATTTTTCACAACTGAATATCAAGTTGATCAATAAATGTGATTAAATAATATGTGTACGCATGATCTTTTGAAGTTTTTTTCCTGCACTGGGTCATTGTTTGCTGCCTGCCTGCCTCCCATTCCACTTTTCCTGCATAAACATGCTTTGACTTTCTTAGGGGATGTTACCTTCCCTCCTTGGTTCATAATCTTGAGGGGATTGTAAGTCCAGAAACCCAGACCCTTAGACACTCTCCGCTGTTAGACTTTGGATTCTGTATAATGATTCAAGGAAGGAATCAAAAGAATAAGACCATCAAATAATTCCTGCTGCTACTAGACTTCCACTGCCTTCAAGTTTCCTGGTTCTTATTTCTGAGCCCGGATCTTCAGCTACCTTTGATTCTGTAAGTCGTGTGATTTCTCCCCTTTCCTACCACACTCTTACCAATATTCCAGTTTGCTTCAGTTAAGCAGAATTGCTTTTGTTTCTGTTTTTGGGAGGTGGAGTACAGGGATTGAACTCAGGGGCACTCGACCACTGAGCTACATCCCAGCTCTATTTCGTATTTTATTTAGAGACAGGGTCTCACTGAGTTGCTTAGCGCCTCCCTTTTGCTGAGGCTGGCTTTGAACTTGTGATCCTGCTGCCTCAACCACCTGAGCTGCTGGGATTACAGGTGTGCACCCCTGTGCCAGCTGCTTTTGTTTATTGAAACAATACAAAAATAATACAGCATCTACTCAGGCCACAGGCTATTAAATATTTTCCTCTGGTGGTGTTTGGTAAAATTGCATTTCAAAACGGCTACCCCTTATTTACTCCTTATTTATGAAGTGTTTGAAACTGATTAGCCCCATTTTATTGAGGTGAAAACTGAGCTGATTATGATAAGTAACTGGCCCAAGGTCACATGTCTCAAGAGAACTCAGGTTTGTCTCATTCTAAAGTTTGCCTTGTTTTTCACTTGCTGCATTTAGTGCTGCCTGCCTAGATGATCTGGGCCTTAAATGTTTTATTCCTAAATTTTCTATATTGGCAATTCTC